TTGTATCTTGACCTTTAATGTAAGGTCCATAGACTTTTCAATTCAAGTTGAGTGAAGATGAGGATGAAAGTGATGAAGATGTGTGTTCATGGTAAAAGTAATCTATCTTGAAGCTTTAGAAAACTATTAATCAAAAAGAGAAAAGGTGAAAAATATTTTCATCTTTGCTCAATCAACAAGAAACTTTTTCTTTTCTTTTATTTTTTTTACTCTGCGAAAACTTTTTCCGTGATCTGAAAGTGTAAACAACAATACCATCAAAAAATTGGAATAGTTTTGGTTCCACTCTTTGTCCAGTTAACAGTGATATCATCATCATGATTACCACCACATAACCGTAATCATGAGCACCAATGATGATGATGAAGAAATTGAAGCAAAAATTTTGAAAAAGAAAAAAATATTTCATCTTTTCTTAGATCGGAATCATCGTGAAGATCAAATTTGGTGATAAACTTTCATTGTGGTTATCCTTTTTTATCCGATGGTCAGTCCAATTGTGATGATGATGATGATGAAAAAGCTGCTTAATATTCAGACCACACCAATTTCAAAGATGAGTAAGATGAAGATGATCACTTTTACCCTTCTCTTTTCATCATCCTTTATGGTCAAACCTTAAGCCAACCTTTAAGGTCATCATTATTGACCAACTCTCATATTTTTATATAAGAGGAAATAAGATATCTACAATAAGGGATAATAATAGTTATGATAATAATATGATATATATAAAAAAATAGCATTAGAATTACTCAGAACACTCGTTAACCTTTGTTGATACTCAATTGAGATTCCATGTCACCTCTCAACTCTATTTCTCGATTGATTACTTGACCATTATTATTATTACCATGGAGAAGGAATCAGAATATGAAATGAATCAAATAATCAAAATATTCTTTGATGAATCAGAATTAAAGTTTCTAACAGTCTCAGATTTTTTTCTCCTCTCTCCATCACCTTAACTATTCTGAACTCTACTTTCTTTCTTCTGAAATTCATTCTCATGTCCATGTTTGAATTACAAATTCTGTATGAATATTGCTGACAGAATTTTTCATTTTCTTTCATTCATTAATATACACTTTCTGATATGTATCACTTATTATCTTGAGCTCATCTTTGGTGTGTGTATATACATTTCTATGAAAATAATTTTAGAAGTGAGTATTTTTATTCAGGAGAAAAAAAAATCACTTTAAATTTGGTGATCGATTCTATTGTGATGAATATTTTCATTCTCATGAATTTATGGATGTAACATTTACTGATAGCTCTGATTTTCAAATAGTCGAGACTTATTTTCAAAATGATAAATTCATTAATAGCAGAAGGAGTTATCAGAGCCAATGAATATTCATGAACCTACTTAGAAAATTTAAAATTTCGGAAAAATTATCTGCTGATGGATCTTTTCAAAAAAAGAACTAAATTTCATCTGAATGGCTCAGGCGAAGAAAAATAAAAACATCTGAGTAAAAGTGACTCGATATTTATAAGAATTTAATTCATCGTTATCGTTGACACCAAACATTTAGTTTACACTTTCGATAACGGATAATTTTGATTGATTCATTTTCTCAGCAGATATCGACTTGGGAAGCACAAAAATTCACCAGAAAATTATTAATAAACTATCATAGTCTCAGTATCATGTCTATCTTTCTGAATTTTCACATTGTGTTAACTTTCCCCCCTGAATGTTCAATGAGTTTTTACGATGTGATATAAAAAAATTCGTGCCCACTTTGATTCATATCAACGTCAAATTGAGGAAAGAGTCAGTATTTTTTCACTGCATCCTGAAAAACAGAGACTGGACAAGGAGAATGTGAATAAATTGGTCAAGTGTATTATATTATATTATGTTATATTACATTATATTGGGTTGAGAAGTGTGAAGATGATGATGAGAAGCAGAAAGAGAAAGGAAAGTAATCAATCTTACAAAGGCAGACCATAAATATCTTTCAAGCCACAAATTCCGAGCCCATGGATGAAGAAGAAGATGGGAAACTGATGAAGATGAAGCTGAGTGATGGAGATTGAATTGCATAGAGATGATGATAACTGATGAAAATGCTGTTTGAGCAAATAAACTGTGCAAAATGTGAAATAAAATGTTCGTCTTTACGTTATACATTTTTTTCTGCTTGCTACTTTTTCTCATTCCCGAATTTTTTTCTCCTCCTTCAGATTGAAAAGAACGGAGAGAGAGAGAGAGAGAAAGAGAGAGAAAACATTCCCAGAATCTTATCAACCGTTCAACATTGTCCATAGATAATCAGAGATGCTTGGAAAAGGATGAAGACGATATGATGACGATGGAAACACTTAAATAAACCTAATGATATGAACAGAGATAGAGAGAGGCTAGTTTAAGATGGACAATGGAAATGACCATTCTGATCATGATAATGTTCATTTGCTACCCTGAAATTATCATTATCATTCTTGTATTAGTTTTTTGTTGGTTATTTCATAATAACTAATTTTATCTTTTATGATATAAAATATTTCATGTAACATTTTTTTCTCCTTCTCATTTCATTCTATTATCTTTGAATTAACTTTTTTTTTTGCTTATTTTCTTCAACTTGTTCAAGGTTCGTTGATTGTCATGATCATTTCCGTCCTCTTATCATATAACTATTACACTTAAATCAAATAAGAATCTTATTGAACATGTTACCATCAACTTTTGCTCATCTTTTTGAAACATCATTAAGTTTACAGTTTGATAATACTAATCCTTAATATGAACACTACTAAAAACCACTGAATGGTTTGACTAATGAGGAAAAAAATAATTGACTAAAATGTAATCAACGCTTATCAAGTAGCAATTATCATTTTAATAACAACATCATCATCATTGCAATTTATAGCATTTAAAGTGCAACTAGTTTTGTTGAAACAATTTTGTTTAACTCATGCTATTCATGGTATTTTCAATGATAACAATGTTGATTGTTATCATGCATCCACTTGATTAACCTTGATGATTACTTGAAGTAACAATAACATTACAACATTAATAAAAAAAATACTCAGCATATGCAAACACAATGTCAATTGTTAGTGGTAATGTTGATGAAAAACAGGAAGTGGATTGAAAGAAGTAAACGGAAGGTAAGATACTTGATTGAAGATTGATTGATTGACTGAAGTTAATCCAACTGCTCATGAAGGTGTTGGATCAGCGAAATTGCTTTTAAAGTTTAGTAGGAGAATCAATGAATTTTAATTCAGTCTCAATTGCAAGTTCAACTTTTGAAGTCTAAAAAACTTTTGGGCGATTTGTAAGTTTTAGGAAACATTAATTTCACCTTGTGAACTTGAACTGCAAACTGCTTGACCACTTTCAAAGGTTAGTTGGTTAGGCCTTGCTTTTACTTTGTATCATTTTGGCAAGCTTACTCAGTAGTTGATTGATATTGATTGACTTGGATGTAGTTTTTATATGCACTTTAATTGTATTGATTACAGTTAAAAACGTGTAGTAAATTGTTAGTTCAGGTTTTTTTTTATCTCATTCAAGCTATGATCATGCTGATCTCAGAACTGTTTACATATATGCATCGGGGAATCACATTTAAGGGTTCTAACCATTTACATTTATCAAAGTAACAGTTATCGAAAATTTCGAGTCAAATATGCTCCAGTACTGTGTTGCTTGACCAACCCTGTGAGTACAATGGAAGATCAAATTGTGGAGAAAAATTATTCTATTGGTATAAATGATTAAATTGATCTTTATTGATTTATTTTCATTGTTGTGATTCTCAAGTAGCACGATTTGTTCAAATTGATCGAATAAATTGAATCAAAAATAGAATCAAATTTAATGTTCAACAATAAATATGATTTCAGGGTTTCGTCTGATTTGTTACCTCAGCCGTTTAAATTGATAATCAAGCTCGATTATTAGATAAAATCGTCACAGTCCAGACACATTAAGAGTTACAGTAAGTAATGTAAAAAGTATGTTCGAAATTAGCTTTAATCAAATTCTTTTAAATAATCGACCTTCAATACACCTTTACGAACGTTCAGGTACCAAGATGACACTTATTGAAACCAAGTTACGTGATGGATAATATAAAATGGATGAAAAGTTGTTTTCAGGCCATCTCACGATTCGTGGCATTTCCAGCGCATTTTTTAAAAGTTTTCTGAGCATCCAATGTTCAGAGGATGCCAAGTCTAGCTAAGTATCTAACTTTAGTTGTTATCGCTCAATAAGATAATTCGTAAGCAGTGGAGGAGCAAGAACAAAGAGGAAACCAAACTTCGTACAGTAGAGGTGGCGAACTCTCTTTCAATCAAAAGGGTTAGCTGACCAAAAAATCGCAAAAAAAGTTTATATTAATATATCGATATGAACTTTGGAGAGAATTCCTTGGTTTATAGCTATAAATATCTGATATTTAATATCTCTGAGTTAATGATTAATCTTCGACCAATTTGGTCATCATGGAGTGAAACGTCGCTCTCAGGGACAAGATTTTATTACATTACTTCATCAGAATCATCTTGATGATTAGCTGAATATCATGATGATACTGAGAAACATGTGAGTTGAATAGTATTTTATGATAATACTCAATCAAATGTAATCATCACATTGATAATCATTGGAATCAAAAATATCAGTTGATAAACATCAATACACACCCAAAGGCTAAAATTAATGAATGAGTTAATCATGATTGAGATTAGGCGTCACCACTTCCAACAATTAGCACAATTAATCGGAATAATATGATTAATGGAATGAAATTATGTATAAATGATACGTAAGTTCAATCAACCTAGTTGTGTGAAAGTTCATTGTCAAAATTCATGATTCTGATTCAATTGACTTTTAGTGGAAAACTTTTGAAAATTGAGATAAAAAGGCAATCAGAATATTTCATTCTCAAAAAGGAACTTAGTTTTTACTTTATACTCATTGGATTGAGGTGGAAAATGATAAATGATGGAATTGAACTTACCAGCTCTCACATGGAGTTCTGGTGATATTATGGATCCAACTTTATTGTAGGCAATACAACGATAAGATGTAAGATGAATATCTTGACGAAATGAGTCTGAATGAAATGGTTGTAAGATCAGGGAACCATCTGATCGGATGTATCTTAGTCCAATTACATTATCTACATCGATATGATAATTAATTGACTCCATTGGATTATTTGATGATGAGGAGGAGGAAGTTGATGAAGATGATGTTGATCCTCTAATCCATTTAATCGTAGGTCTTGGGAGTCCATTTGCTTTACAGTTTAATGTTAATCCAGTTGAATTGTAGAAATCAATTTGTCCATTTGATGTAGATGAGTCAATGGGAAGTGTCACAAAACTTGGTCCTTCAATGAAACCATCCTCTTGTTTGATAATATCTTTAATTGTAAATGGCAAAAAAATATCAAGAAAATCAATAATCAATCAACAACAATTAGAAGTAAGAAAAATAGTGGGCTCAATCTAAGAAACAATCAAAGTGTTAGGGAGGAAAAAAGGAAAAGGAATGGAAAAAGTTATTGTTACTTATCAGTTAGATGAACAGAACAATTTGTCTGGTCATTAACATGAACTCATTTCCCTTCAAGTTTCACTATTTTTATGAATGATATTCAGATAATGTCATAGATGAATCAATAGTAATAATAAACCATATGACATATTGTTTTTGTCTAGATGAGTAAAAATTTGCTTTAAAATCAAATAGAGGTCAAAGTTATATCATGAATTTATCCTTCCCTTGCTTTAGGGTCAGAACTGAATACTTTTACATAAGCAACCATGGAGTTACATCATTTCCCTTTAGCATTATTATTAGAACATGAATATATAAGTTAGTGAAATAAGATGAATGAAATGTTATTCTGGATAAGAAAAATGTGAATTTACAAAGTAACAGATTCAATCTTTGGTGTGTATGCACATTTATATGCGTATAATATATTGGAGTATATTCATTGTTAGGCTACATGAAATGTTATATATGCTAGAGAAAGAGGGTGAGAGAGTGAGGTTATTCATTGTATTTCAAAGGTCCTTGATACATGGATTATATATACTCCTTTTTTTCAATGGACTCTCAATCTTTTGTGTAACATTTAGCTCGGCAGAATTGTGAAGAAAGGAAAATAAGGAAAATACATTCGAGTAATCATGTTATATTAATGCTAGTAAAATGTATTCTAAATGAGTATCTTGTTTTTTAAACGAATCTCCATCTTTATATGTTCAACAATAAACTTTTCGTAACATATGATTACAACAATTGAGATTATTTCCTAAAGATATATATTCATTATCTATTATAAATGTTTATGTAACCAAATTGAAAAGAAGGAAAATATTGAATAAAAATCAGAATTGAGGGTAATTTTATCATGGGTTTCAATCGAAATGTAATATTAACATTTGATTCTTTTGTAAGGTGAGGGTCATTTTATGATTGCATCATTTGTAAGGGAAATTGAAAGAGTCGTAGTTAATCTGGTCCGTTTGGACACTTATTTGATGGTCGGAGTTTTGTTTTATTATATTTTATTTTCCATTTCAAGTCTCATTTGAGTTGCAAGGTGATCACGAGTTTTATTGCTTCTTAATACATTTTCATGTTAATAACATATGGAATAGAGCTCAATTGAGTTTAATTCAATTCCAATATTGCTATAGTCGTTGTTCGAAGTCATTTTTGAATGTCTACAAATAACATGGTCAGTAAAAGTGAGCAAATGATATTAAATTTTACGATAATGAAACTTTACAAAAGTTAATATTTGTGAGTATAAAATCGGCCTACTCTAGTATTCCTGTTGAACATTCATTGTTGGTGTATCAGGGGTCTCGACGAACAACAATTATTGAATGATTTAAATCTAATCAAAATACGAACTCGTCCAAAAATTTCATACAGACAATTGACAAATCTACTCACCATCACGCCAACTCATGGTAATACTCAAACGTAACAAACAGGTAGAGATTTCTCACCAATGCGTCTAACATAAAGATATTCACCTAATAGTTAATGACTTTATGATAGTTCAATTAGTTTTATCAATGAACAAAATGTAAATGAATCACAAATAAAGGCTACATAATCGAGTAAAATAAAATTTTCGAGGGCTGATTGATTAAACTTGAACGAATAAAAAATCATCATTCCAACTCATCTATTACTTTGATTCTGTTTTTCTCTCATTGAATTGGATGTTGCTCATATTCTCCCTCCTCTCATGAAGATGATAAAATTTTCTTCCTCTTCATCTTAACTTTCGATCTATCATCATCTTTCTTTTGTCTATCATAGGTATAAAACTGCTACCGATTCCGTATGTATGGACTGATGATTGAATTGATCATCCATCATGAAGATAAAATAATAGTTAATCTTATTTCGCTGAGGATTTGAGATTCTTGAAATTCCAATGAAACGTGATCATAGGGAGGAAAAAGGGGTTTAACTGATGATGATCATCATCATGAAAAGGAAGTGACGATAAAAATTGAGTTTGTGACTCTACCTTCAGGATCATCTTAACGTGATTGACTTAACAGTTAGTATCCAAAACTGAGGAACCGAGAAACAGTAAAAGCTAAGGGAGATGATGATGATACTGATGATATAACGAGTATATGTAATGAAGATGAGGAAGACAAAAGATGAAAGAGAGAGAAAGAGATAGAGCAACATTATGATGAATGATCTGACAAAATTTGTTGACGCTAAAGATTGTAAATGCTTTTCTTTTCATTGCAAACCTAAATTACCAGGAGATTCAAGCTAAATATTGTTTCCTTTTGTATTCCAATCATTATCAATATGAGTTTTACTCTTTTTTTTTGTTTACTCGGAGACAATTCATCCAACTATTCAATAGAATTGAAATTATCTCTCCTCATGAAAAGAAATGAAAACTTTCATTTTCCATCTTATGCCAATCTAATAATTCATTAGGAACAATTTAAATTCTGTCACCAAAATATAAACTTGATTAGTTGATTGTTAGGATAACCTTTTCTGATTGTTAAGGTTTCTTTTTTTTCTTTATCATTGAATTACCGTTTTTCTGATTATTTGAACAGTTAACTAAATTGTAATTTAATTGTTAAGGTTAAATTGTTGTTCTTTCATCTTCCAAGTTGCAAGTTTAACTTTTCTCTAGCTTTTTGATTTCGTTTCTCTCATTCTATTTACAATAATTACTTTCAAGTTCTGATTCTAATCAAATTGTTTTCTAAGATGTTTTTTTTCTCGTTGCTCCATTTCCTTTAACAATCAGTTTGATGCTCATTGCTGTTGATGATTAAATTGTTAACATGAAAGTTGTAAGTGGCTTTTACATGGGAAAAGACAACTAGAAGGTTAATTTGTGTATGTAAATAGTTCAATTAAGCTGATTATTCAAATGATAATTGTTAATTTCCTGAAGGCGAAAAAAACCTAAGATTGAACATCATGAGAAAACTATCATGTTTAAACCGTAGAAGATAATCAATTATCTTAATTTGATTGTGATCTTTTTTTTCGTTTTCATTACAATGAATAGTGTAAACATCTAAATATTAATATGTAACTTATCATCACCATCATCATCAAGGAAACAAAATAATCATTTAATTTCAATAGATATTAATCAAAGCAATCAAAGGAAAGGTTATACATGTATTAGATAGTCAACTATTTGATTTACTTTCCAAGTAAAAATCTGATCGTGAAATGTTTGACAAATTGAGCTCAAATTGTGATAATATTAACAGAATCTGAGCCATTACTAATTGCGATTGGTGTAAAGGTTATTCATGATAAAGACAATGATAAAAAAATACAAAAAGATTCAATTCCATGATATTATCTGAATATGTTCACTGAGCTTATTAATATTAATCAGTATGTTTCAAGCTTATTACATAATAAATACAAATAATGTTTATCATTAATATCAAGCTGAAACCCTCTTGAAATGTTGAGATGATGAGGAGGATAAAAAAAATATGAGAATATTGTTGAAACAGTGAAACTGAATTGGAACTTTTTTTCCCCTCATCTTCAACGCTTAATTAACATGATGACGATGATAACATGATGAGAAGTGTCAACAATTGAGCTGAATGGTAAAAAACATCATGCATAAATTAGATCATCATCATCATACTACTGTAGTTAAATAACAGAGGGAAAAGTTGAGTAACATTTCTTGGTAACAATGAGTAAATGATTAACTTGAAACTTGTTTGATAATTGTTTCAATTCAATGTAATCAAATTGTAGACACAAAATATTCATTATAAATTGGTTAACAATCATTTTTATCAATTAGTTAATCATTAATAACCTTCGGTAATCCCTCTCATTCATTGACTTTTTTTATAAACTTAATGTGCTGATAACGAGTGAAAAATCATCAAATTCTGGATAATCTCCCTTGAAAGGAAGTAAGTAATTCATGAAGCTGATGTTATTCTGAAACTCATTATTTAGTTTGATCAATATAAACATCAAAAGGTGAAAGAAAAGTCATTAAATTCTGTGAGATACCATCTTATCATCAGACATTACGCTTTTATCATGAATTGTATCAATCAGTTGAATTCCTTCAATATTTTTACATTCACAATCAGTTGATTAATTAGTCAAACACACTTGCAACCTTTGTAATCCATGGTACTGTTAGGATCTAGAAGATTCTAATGTAACGTCAACCATAAGTACAATCAAGTACATTGTTGAAATCAAATAATTGATTCCCCTCTTTGTCGTTAAGGTGAATTCACCTTTGTCACCTTGACCAAGGTAACCTTTACTTTTTGTATATAAAGTCTTGTGTAGGCAATATACAAGTAACCAGTTAAGTTTAGTTCACCTTTTTTCAAACATAAACTTTATACCTTCAACTATTATGATTTACCCCTTGTACCCTTTCTTGATTATTTAACTATTAAAGCTATTTTCTATTCTAAGTACGATCTATTGTTCAATTCTAACAGGTATAGTAATCACTTAAATAACCAAATCCTACAATACATTGATTGGTCCATAACCCTTAATAAGACCGTCGCTATTATCAGACAAATAAACCGTTGAACCGATTTAACTGTTTTCAAGATATTAAATTGAATCAAGAGTTTGGGTGATGATCTTAAAATTATCGGATGATCTGTAATTTTAATCACATCTATCTAATGCAAATCAACAACGGATGAAGGTCATTTTGTACATGATACAATCGGCTGTACGTACAAAATGTATAGTCGATTATCTTGTATCGAGATTGATTGATATAAGTAGAAATGGGATAAATGTTTTAGAGTTTACAGAATCTTTCATGAGCATTTATCATTTTTTTAAACTTTATTACATGAGCATTATTAGCCTGAAATGTGT